TCCCCAGGAGCAGCCCTGTGGGAGCTTCTGCCCAGGGTTCTACAGTTTTTGCCATCCCTGAAGACTTTGGTGGCTYTGCTATCAGACGGCTGAAAGAACCTGCAGACCAGAACCAAGTGACTGTCCAGAAGCAGCAGCTTCAGATCCCCACAGCTGCTCCTCAGTGGCTGGTTCCATCTACTCCCTATCCACATCCAAAGGCCAGGTGGTCCAGGGTCAAGTTGTAGCAGGTTTCTAATTTACTTACTTTAGGTGTTTAACAAGTTCTTTAAAATGTATATTTGAAATAAAAATATCCCTTTTTTAATTGAGTCTGACTTTRTATTCTATTGGAATTGGTATAAACTTGGTTCTATATTTTTGTGGGCTCTCCAAGGGTATAATCACCATCCTAAAAGTGAGGGACACTTTTTATTATATTTGAAAGGTCTTGTTTTTCCTGCTTTGGTTCAAATTAAGTGGCTGGGGGACATGTCCCACCCTGTACCTATGGTAAGTGAACTTTTACATCTCTGAAGTATTCTAAACTTGGACTTGTACTGAATACTAGTACATAAAACAGGCAAAGTATTCCAGAAATTTAACATTTTGCAAATGCAAGGAATGTTTTAACTGAACAGTGTGGAAGCTTGAATAATTTATAGTAACGTACGCATAATTGGAGTAAGCAATTCTTTTTAATCTGACCCTTAAAAGTTAAGGGAAATTGTATCATAACTCTATTCAGGGGATTTAGACCATGTAGGCTGCATTAAAACTGTGATCGAGTCTGTCTTTGGATGTTATAACATGCCTTCAGCTGGAAAATGCTACCCATCTTTCATGGGAGATAACGTGTGTGTGTGGGGGCTCCATCTGTCAAAATTATCACTTTTTGGCAGTTAATGTTACTGCTTCAAGATCAAATAGCACATTTACTGAAGAAGCCCCTGTATCTGCAGGAAATGGTTTTTTTTCTGCTTTAGTGCTCTTGTTGCTAGATCAGGTGGGTTTCTACAATTGTGCTTGTTTTGAACATGTTGGGCTGGGGAGGTTAAGATTTCGGCTGCTTTTCATAATTTTAGGCAGGTTTTAGTAAGTGTCAAGCTCGTGGAATGGACATCCAGTGGTGACGTTAAAGTTAATGGCAGCTTACAAACAGTGCTCCCACCTGGTTGGAAATAAGTCCCCCAGAAAAACTTTACGGATTTAATTTATGCAACGATGTTGAAGATAAAAGGGGAGATGCRAAAAAAAAGAAGCAAATTAAGCTCAAGATGTGATAAAATAACGGCAGCGGATGAAATAGTCTGACGCATTGAGACTGAGACACACTCATCTGAGGGTCTTCACAGCTCTCATGCCACACACCCACTTTCTCATGCTGAGAGCTGACAAATGCCAAAAACTCAACTCCGGTTCAGTTTATCTTTATAAAAATACAAGTATTGATATAAATCCAGTCCACGTTTTACCGCAACTCGTGGCGTTACATACAGGGACATGCCAGGTTGTTATCCGTATTTTCACAACAACCTTCCATCTACCTGTAAGAGATATGTTTATCAATGTAGGAGCTGATGTACAACTGTCATTTCATCCCTTCTTCCATAATTTTATTAGTTTAAACTCTAACATGAAAGAATTACACATGGCAGTGTCGAATGGCCTTTCATTTCCATCTAATTTCAGAACCAAACACGACCAGATGCCTCAGGAAGAAACCGATGCTGCAACCTAATTTCTCTGTAAACCAAACAAATGGTGAGTAGCACTTTAACAGCAGAGCAGGGTGTGTCACCTGCTCAGGTGTATTCATGCTTTAGACTACTGAACAAGCTGTAACTATTATATCAGCACAAAGGCTCAGGTGGTTTGTAGGAATTGGTCATCTGTAAGGTTTATCTCCCTCTGTCAGGTACGTACTAAGGTTATTTTTATTTTTTAACTGAAACCATTTACATTTCTGTAAACTAAAACAGGAACTATTTTTGTTTTCAACCACAACTGAATCCAGAACACCATCTACACTCTGCCTGAATCATGGAGCGGCTGAAGTTAGTCCTGCAGTACTTCCAGTCCAATTCTGAGTCCATCTCTAATGGTATCTGCATCATCCTGGCCCTGGTCAGTGTCAAGCTCTACACCAGCTTCGACTTCAACTGCCCGTGCCTCCCTCAGTACAACAAACTCTACTCTCTGGGGGTGATGATCGTACCTCCCATCATTCTGTTCTTCTTGGGGGTCCTGGTCAATCGACATACGGGAGTCATGATGGATGAGTGGATGAGACCGGTCGGGCACAGATCCAAAAACCCTGCAGTGGTTAAGTGAGTAAAACCATCCAGTCACTGAAGCACAATCAGCTGTTCTAAGGACATTTCAACACTTTGTGAGCTGAAAGGTTTGGAAACAGTCATTGTTTCTTAAAGCAGCAAGGTTTTTGTCTTTAAAAAGCTGTTAAATCTCTGTACCATCATGATTATACAGAACTAACCCTCAGTGCTGGAAGATAAAGTCAGAGAGACCAGGCTGAGATGTTTGGACATGTCCAGAGGAGGGACAGTGGGCAGAGGGGTTTTAAAGATGCAGCTGCTTCGAAAAAGACAAAGTGGAGATGTTTGGATGTAGAGAGAGGAGATGGAAGTAACTGGTACAAAGCACCGAGCAGCCGAGCTCCCTTCCCCACAGAGCACCCCTCCCCCACACGTCTCTTGACCTTGTAATAAAACTACTTTTCTGTCCAGTCATTTTCGGATTTAAAAAATGCCTTAATCAAGGAAACATATTTTTGGATGCCAAGGAGACTACCATCTTACAATGCTCCTAAAGGTTGTAAATGGCATGAAGCATTGTTGTGCTGAAGTGGGAGTATCGGAAATGGCAGGAGGTTCTTAAAGAGACAGAGACTGAAATTTTAAATTGTTTAGATAGGCTATGATGCAAAGTTAAATTTATTTTTGATTTAAATATTTTCATGACAACTGAAGGTGACATTACTTGTTTGTGGTATAGAAATGAACTATGTGCCTGGAAAACACATAATACCCTCCTTTAAGTTGGTCTGCAGAAATAATGTGGCTGAAAATCAGTTCTACTTCATGTTTTCCCACAGATACCTGTTTTCTGCCATGATCCAGAGGGCCCTATTGGCACCGATGGTGTGGATTCTGGTCACTTTGTYGGATGGAAAAATCTTCATCTGTGCTTTCAGTCTGAGTGTAGACCCTGGACTTTTCTCAGGTATTGAAAATATGAGGGAAAAATGCTCTACACAGAGAACAATGTCGAGTATTATTTTTAGCTGAACTTATTTCTTTATTCCCTGTGATTTATAACAATATTATATGTTTCCCTAGGAGTGCCCAATAACACGGGTCTGGATATAATTAAAATCATGGCCAAAGTGCCCTGCAAGGAGGATGTTATTTTCAGGAACAGCTCTTTCCGTAAAGCAGTTTCTCGCTATGTTCGCTGTTATTCACAGGTAAGCTGTCTTATAGAGTAAGACTTCTTGAAAAAAAAAAAAAAAAAAAACTCATGGACTACTGTGTTGCTATCACAAAATTAAACGAGAAAGAGAAAAACTTCAATGATTCTAAAAATACAGAAACCTAAAACGTGTTGTGTGCATATGTTCACTCTTTGCTTTAAAGTCCCAACCACTATGTCAGAAGCCACATTAGTTAAAGAAGATCCACCTGTGGGTGATCTAAGTAAAGTAAGTAAAAAAGGTAAAATAGTCTGACTACGCTGGAGAAAATATCCTGTTTTATGTCTCCCGACATTTTGAATTCCATTTAAAATAGTCCATGTAGTTGGAAAAATAGAGCAAAACAATACACAACAAGCTGGGTTATTAATAATATACACAAACATACAGAAACAACTTTGTGGAGTGAATTGCTATTATTATTATTTTAGACTGGGCTGGGTCACATGCTTTAATGGATCAGCCATGCCTGTCTATTAATGATTTTTAACCTTGGTATTGTATTATAACTTGTGCTTTAGAGCAGTGAACTTCCCAAACTCCAGTTTTTATGAATGTGCTCACACTGATGATGATCAGTTAATCAGTACGTTTTATCTGTGCTAGTTTCCCAGAAATCTGCAGTTTCATTTAACTTTTGTTATTTAAATGATTATGCTGTGCAGTATGTGTTTTGAATAATCTCAGATTATAAAGGCTGGTTTTACGATTTGCCTTTTTACCCAGTTTAAAAAAGGCAACTGGACTTTTCAGGTTTTTGAAACATTTTGCTTCTCATCCGAAGACCTTTCTCAACAGACCGATTTTTAGTTTTTGAAAATATTGTAATTTTCTGCAAACACAGCATTGTAGGTA